ACTACCATTCCTTTCAGAATAAAGGTTGTAATTTTCCCCAGTATCTGAACATCCAGTTCCACGACAACCGTCTCCATCCATTGGCCAGGCACTAACTTGAACTCACAAAAGAAAGATCCAGCAGTTAGATCCTAGGAATCTGTTTTGTAGCATGCTTTCTCTAGTTTGACTTCAAATTATAGTTCCAGATCAGATATTGGGAACACTTCCATGAGCTGTGCCCGTGCTTGAAACCCTACCCAACACAGAAATAGTGAGCTCTTCACTGAATTTTACATGAGCAAAATCTGCTGAACAAGCACATCTGAAGGATCACGTTAAGAGATCTTTTCTCTTTCCACTGAAAAGACAAGTCAGTAGTGCAAGAGGTTAAGCTGCCCTTTTTCACAGAGAACATGAATTTGAAGAGAGAATGTATCATGCAGCTTGCGACTTCTGCTTCTGTTCTTATCACCTATGCACACATAGAATCATAGAATCACCAATGTTGGAAAAGACCTCCAATATCATCTAGTCCAACCATCCACCTATCATCAATATTTCCCCACTCATCCCTTAGTACATCTCCTTTCAGGTGATTACAGAGGGCAAACATGCACGCACACACACACACACAATTTCTTCTGCTTCTTCCTCTGTACATCCAACTGACAGCAAGTTGAATAGAGCTGCTATTCTTACTCCTAGTGAGCGCCAAGCAGCTGTGAAAAGTCAACATTTTCCTCTTTCTCTGGCTCTTGCACAGTCCCAGTTCCTTTGTGTTATTTAGCCACATGCCCCCTCGTGGCTTGGGACATGATATTACTTTTCTCTTTAAAGGTGACTACTACAAAATACAAATTGGAGCAAGACCTGTAGTTTAAAAAATTCTTCTAGTCAAGCCTCACTGATGCTGGATAAAGCACAGCAGAATGTTAAGCAAGTCTCTGCATTTTTAGAGGGTTTAACTGGTTAGGGTTAAGCCTACTACCCTTACAGATGTCAGCAAATTACAGAGGGGAAAGAAGACAGAGCAATGAAATCTGATTTGCTGTAAATTATAGTCGTTTTTAAACAAGACAACAATATTGTTTATAGATACTCTGCAGCCTTCGCTGTGTATAGCCACCATAGAACAACTCTAGCTGTTGTAAAATGCTGTTGGGCACCACGCTTTGAAAGTTGGGCACAGCCACTTGTATCTTGGCTTACAGCCCAACAGTGAAGCCCAGTTACCTTTCAGCATAAAGGCAAAATGAGGAAGCTGCCTGAAAGCAAAGCGATCCTCTTGCTGAGGAAGCTGATATCAGACTTTCTGTCCTCTAGCAGACCATGCCTCATGTGATCTAGTCTATGTAAAGAAGATTTGAAGGAAGTATATATCCAGGTTTACGGGAATGGAAGCTATTTCTGGCAGTTTAAAAAAGATTAAATTACTCATATCCATGGACCACCTGGCCTATTCTCTCCCTAATGGATGTCAGATTTTTTTCTTTTCTTATTTTTTAAGTTGAAAGCAATTGTACAGTCAGAGCTATAGTATCTACCCACTACTTCACACCCAAAAAAGAGCACATCTTCACATGTGTCTTTGGGGAGCACCAAGGACACTAATCTAAGACAGGATTTTAAGTACCCAGGTGCCAAGAGCTAACCAGGTTGAACTTTTTTTGGCACAGTAACACTGCATCTTCTGCCCATTGCTCCTCCTGCTCATTTGCTGTTTCTCAGAGGCCCACCCAAGTATTCTTCCACAGTCTGCCTTTTCCTACACAGGAGAGATCCAGTCATTCTTTCCTCTCTCCCTTCCACCCCCAACATCACTCACACTTCTGGGGTATAAGACACTTGATGGCATCCTCCATTCCAGGTCCACAAAGCTATTCACAAACAAGATCCTAGACCGAGTGCCAGCATCCTTCAGAGAGACAAAGATTTCACTCACTGTGTACATCTGTGTTTCTGTTAAACTAACCATGTTTCACTGCTGGGAAAGTTGGGCAGCAAGTTAGTGGTTGTAAGCTGCACCACGGGAGGTTCACGTTGGTTATTAGGAAAAAATTCTTCTCAGAAAGAATGGTGCAGTCACTGTCCCTAGAGGTGTTCAAGAACCTCCAAGTGTGTGTGGATGTAGCTCTGAGGGATGTGGTTGGCGGGCATGGTGGGGATGGGCTGGATCTAAGAGGTCTTTCCAACATTAATGACTCTGTGATTCTAAGGAAATGCTGTAAGAAAATCAGGAGCTGTGAGCGAATCACAAAAGCTCAGTAGCTGATTCTGCTTGGGCCTGAGCCTGAACTGTTTAATACGTATCTACATGTTTTGAACAGCAGAAGGGAATCTATCTGCAGATCATCTGTGCTTCACAGTGTGTTTCCTTGTATGATGGTTTTGCAAGTGCAGATGCAAGCTCTCAGATGCAACTGCTAATTTGGAGAGAAAAAATGGCTTCATCTGTTCTGCGGTGAGACACCTGAGCAGCCAAGAGAGCTGTTTCAGGAGGAAGCACAGAGAAGGTCTGTGTAGTTACAGCTGTGCTTTCAACACCGGAAAATAAATCATCCTTCCACCGCAGACCCCGTTATAATTACCTTAGCATGTAAGAGCAATTAGGATGTTACTGAATTGCTGTTATGGAACAGTCTGGAATGCTGTTTCCTTTGAAAAGGTGTAATGGGAACGGGGTGGGTGGATGAATGAGCATATTAGGAGATTCACAGTGATATTTCTCTGGCATCCCACCCTACCTGGAGCTGATAGCTCTGCCATTTATCCCCTGAAGAAATTCAGAAAAGTAAACCTCAGAGCTTCCCTACTGTTCTGGTTAGGTGGAAGAAGGCAGGAATGCAGCCCAATACCAATAGCCTGCTTTGCTCAAGGTGGCTCCAGGGTATAGAGTAACAAAGGAAGCAGCTCAGCACAATGCTTTGCTACCCCAGAGAAGAAGCAGTGGCAGAACACCAGAAGCAGAAAACCAGACCAGACTGAGTACAGTGGGAGAAAAGACATGCCCAAGGGATGAGATACCATCCAGAGAGACCTAGGCAGGCTTGAGCAGTGGACCAGGTGAACCTCATGTGGTTCTCAGGCATGGCTCACGTCTAGATGTTACAACAAACTGGATTTGAAATAGGTACTCAAGCAAAACCAAATGATCTCTTGAAATGCCCAGATTGCAGTTTCAGCAGACTGTGTCCAGCAAAAGCAAAAAGCTGAGATTCAAGTGGTATAACAGGTCAAAGCAGAAAAACAAAGCAATATATTTAGGGTTGAAAGCGTGCATACACCTGCACATACATCCACACAGCTGCACAATCAACAAAACACTGCCACAATTCAAAAGTGTAATTAAACAGATTGAGCTGATGTACTGCCCTTCCCTTTAACTTAGAGAGCACCTTCCACATCTTCCCTCAGATTTCCTCTGAAAATGAGAGCTCCTAAGACAGCACTTCATTTTCCAAATGTATAAAATAAACCGAAAACAACCATGCACACACTACAACTATGCACAAGTACATATGCTTACCTTTGTGCCCCAGCACAACGGAATGTACCGCTATACAGACATCTAAATGTATATTGCTTTCCACATAGAGCTGCAAAACCATAACACCTTGCAGCCAGCTGCCCAAATATGAAGTGCTCATGGATTTTATGGTGTTGATGCTCTATCAATTTAGGAGTATTTATTAAGTGAATGCAGAATGGAATTTTCATAGCAGCGGAAAATAAGAATGGTAATGAGGTAAACACATGTTGCAAAGAAAACACCAGCTAAGTGTATGCTCTGTGCAGGAAACTGCAGCTTTAAGCAATCTCTTCTGGAACCCCTGAGCAAGGCCTGTGAGCTGGCTACAGGATGGCATGCTTGTTAATGACATGTCTCTGTGTCCTGTAGCTTTTTACTGTACTGCAAACTCAGTTTGACAAGTAGGCGACCAAATAGGTGTCATGCTCCTTTGAAGGCTTTGAATAACCATGTGAACGCTCTTTTCCTTTCCAGAAACGTGACCATTACATGCACAGTTATAGCATCCGTTTTCTTCTGACCATTCATCAGAGGCCCATACACGCCTCCAATCACACAAAGATTCCCCTCTTGCCGATGGAGACCTCAGGACAGCGAGGTCTGTGCATCATGAGCTCCCCCTGGAGGTCATTTGCTCCAACTTGTGGGTTTTAAAAGAAGTAGAGAGCTAACCTAATAGTGCTGGGTCAAAATTAGCAAGGACTAGGTGTAGCTGCAGAGACGTCCTTGCAACCTGGAGCTGGCTGCTGAATCAGGAGCTGGATGTGGAGGTGTTACACTGATGGGATGGATGATGGGACGGGCTGTATGGTAGAGGAGGACCATGTGTTGAGCAATTTCTGATGACTTATGCTAGATATTAAATCTTAGTCACTTCTTTTTCTAGCTGTGTCTTGAAGCTGTCAGCATGCACAGGTTCAAACAGTCTTTCACTATGAGTCTAGGTACTATGTATTCAGAGAGAAGCTGTATAAATGTACTGATACAGTCTACAGCGTGAGAGCACTGAAGTTTTGGTCTTGACTTGGTACTGGTCTTCCTGTTTGTCTATGGTGGCACTAAAAGCTGTTGGGAGTAGGCTGTGTAAGGCCCTGCAGTCAACCATCTTTCTTAAGTCACAGACAGAAATTCCAGTCTCTGTTTTGCTGGAAGTCTCACAGTGCTTACAGCAGCAAGGGCTCTGACTGATGGAGAGCTGTTGAGTGTGGCAAATGAACTCTGTGAAGAAAATGGAGAGGTTGGTGCACAGGAGAGTTGCACCGAGTGAGATCCCCTTGTCTGAGGATGCACTGCAAGTTAACCTTAGGTTAGGTTAGATATTAGGAGGAAGTTTTTTCAATCAGAGGGTGGTGATGCATTGAAACAGGTTTCCCAAGGAGGTTGTGGATGCCCCATCTGTGGAGGCATTCAAGGCCAAGCTGGATGTGGCTCTGGGCAGCCTGGTCTAGTGATTGGCAACCCTGCACATGGCAGAGGGATTGAAACTAGGTGCTCTTTGAGGTCCTTAAGCTCTCCTTATCCCCTTATGAACTTCCAGGTTTTGTTTACCCTGATGCTATTTTCAACCAATATCAGAAGCAAAACAGTAGTGTTTAGTAGTTTAATTGCATAAAACTAACCTAAATTAAATGTCAAGCCTGGAAGGGTAGAGGTGTTTAATGTCTTTAATCTTTTTTAATTTACAAAAGGAGAAATGAGTCTGCAGTTTCACACCAAATAAAGATAACAAGGCTAACAGTAGAGGGAAAAGGCAGAAGAATGTGTGGGCTTAGGAGTCTTTTTTTTTTTTTTTTAAACAAGTATTTGGGAGACAAACAACAGGATACAAAGCTCACGGCCAGCACAGCTGGAAAAGAGTCTGAAAACCCAGCTCTTTTATCACTCACTTAATGGGTGGTGAAAGAGTCTGAAGTAGAGCAGACCTTCAAGCTTCAGATCTGTTCTTGGGAGCTTGAAGTTTAGTAGCCATATTTCTCATTAAGATGTGTCTTGCCATCACCACTCTGATCTAAGGGACAAAGATAAAGTTACTAAAAAGCCTAGAACAACAACACAACCTACCAAAAAACTAGCACAAGACAGATTTGTAGGCAAGTACTATGCACTAGCCAGCACCTGTCAGACAGGAATAAAACCCAGAATGGATACTAGAGTACAAATAGTCCTTTGATGTATAACTTCTCTTAACATAACATTAATATTAGTGTCAAAACTTCATCTATTCCTGATTTGTTTTTCTTCTTTTCCTGTGATCCTTATTAAGACAGCTGACTGTAGAGAGAGGAAAAGGAGCTCCCTCTTATGGATGCAGTTTACTTAACTTTTACTTAACTACCGCCCTTAGAACCTGCTCACGCTATAAGGTTGCAACAGCATCAATAAAAGTTATAATCATTAATCTCCTAAATGAAAGTTGAGCTTTGATCTCATTACAGAAACTTCTTTGCACAAAAATAAATTTTCAGTTTTGGAGCAATTAAGAATAGCCCCACTTAACTAAAAACACTCTGGAACTAAGGTGTTCAGTTTTAGCTCGTCTTCACCAAGGAATTAGCTAGATTTTTCTCTAAAAGATGCCCCAAAGTTTGTATTTACAAAAATCTGCAGAACACTTTCTGATTTCACAAGCTTCCATAAAAACTGGGAATGCTGAGGTTGCTGGAATATCTATCCTTAGAGAAGTTTTAAGCTTTTCTTTCAGATAGATCATTTCATCACTGTATGCAAATACAGTTAGGTCTCCCAAGAGTTAGCAAACTGAAAACCAGACTTCAGATGTACCTGTCCACTGAGGTGAAGCTCCTATATGGTGATATAAGAAATAAATATGGAGCATAACAAGCCAAAAATTGTTGTGTCCTCAGTAAAGTATTCCCATGTTACTTTTTCCTCAATACATTACAGGACACCCTGACTATTTGTTAGACAGATTCTCAAATTATATGAAAAAAACAAAGAAACAGTCAATACCTGCAGGAGGAATCCATATGCAGTAGTCTGGGTCATCATCTGGGTATTGTGAGGAAAAAAAATGTTGTTGGACCTGCAAAAGGAGAAGAGACTTTTAGGGTGCTGTGCCACTTCAGTAATGTGTCATTCAATAAATCTCTCATTAATCCAAATACAAATGCTGACAGATAAGGACTATTTCTACAATGGTTGTGGACTAAAACAAACAGTAAACACTCTATTTCAGTTTATTTCCAGTAGTGTTGCAGAACCAGTGGTTAGACTGGACCTCTGGAGATTGTCTAGTGCAAAGTCCCTCTCAAAACAGTCTATTGCCAGCACCAAATCCAGTTATCAATGGCCTTCAGACAGTAGAGCTGGGCAGACTAGTCAGGGAATATGAATTCAATGCAACATTCAACAACTTTACTGAGTAACATAAGTATATTTGAGAATATTTGGTTACAAAGAAAGCTCTCCCCTTGCTTTCACAACTCCACTTCCAGTTTGTCTCACTCTAATGTTTGGCAGTGTCATTCAACATTAGTTTCCTTATGCAGTGAAAAGCTTTAGAGTAGGATTTTGAAGTACTTTAGTGCTCTCATAGCACAGTCCCACTAGAAACTTCAACTTTAATGTGACTTGTAGAAGTATACTACGTGTTATATATTTTTAAATGAAAGTTCAGCTATAACTTAGTTTTTCAAAAGAAAACCAATTTTTGTGAGGTCCTACTGGCATCACTGCAATATTTAAAGCAAAGAAAAATAGGCTACCATTGACACAGCTGTATGACAGCTTTTGGTCACATCAGCATTTTCTTGATGCCTTTTGTTTTCAACACCTACAGGTAGCTAACAAATAAAACTGTACAACTGTTAAGTGAAAGATTTCAGAGTTCAAAATGTACCCACTTAGCACTGATTTCCATTACTCTGTAGTGTTGTGACACAGTCCTAAGTTATGCAGTTGAAGCAATTTTTCATTCCCTCAAAAAGCTTTCTTTCCCCAAGTAAACCTCTAAAAGAGTTCTTCTGTAATACTAATGTTCTAAAAAACATTATATTGGAGCTGAAGTGTTTCTAAATACAGTTTGAAAACAGCCACTTAAAAAAAAGACAACAATTGCTTTTCCTGTTTTGTATGTTTTGAAGATATTCTTCAAATAGGTTGAAGAGAAAAAAACAGGCTGATTTCAGGTTGATATTTTCCATGCAAGATCTGAGCCTGGTAGCAGGCAGAGCAAGCGGAAAAAGTGATTTGTAATGGGAGGAAGAATACAGCTAAGCTATCTGGTATTTGGAGAATGCTCAGTGTTAGAGTGAACTCTGTACTGATCAGAGGTGCTGACTTACTGCTTCAGCATGAGAAGCTGCCTTGTTCTACCATATCCATAGAAATAGTGTATTCTGGGCTCCAACAGGCTAAGTTTACCCTTACTTTCTTTATGAACATACTTCAGGCCAGTAACAAAGGATAATTCTAAAGGCCTCATCTACAAAATCCTTGAGTCCTTTGCCAGAGCTAGTAAGAGGAGCAGCAGCATACACATGCTACAAGGAGTTAAATTTCTTTAAATAGGTGGAACAGGACCAAAACTCAATGGCCACTACAAAAAACTATCATAATGCTCAGAACTTATGGCCCACCAACTAGAGTAATTGTCTCTGGTAGCCAGCATAAGGGTGGAATGCACTGTAAAAGGAAGAGCCTCACAATAATCACTAGGCTAAGAGCAAATCATCAGAGAAGTTCCTTCCCACCTTTTCCAGGAAGGCAACATTTTCCTCTGTTCTAAAACATGGAAGACTCATACTTTACATTTTACTGCAAATCTTATGCATGGAGAACACGTTATTTGGTATATCCACTCACATTTAATAATAATTAGGTTGCAAAAAACAATAGTCTTGTTAGATATCTTACTATACCTCAGTGAAAGGAATGAGGCTTAGTAATGGCAATACAGACTAGCTACAATTTTAGTCCAGCATGTCCTGTGTCAGCCAGTGTTTCCCAGGCTTTTCTCCATGAAAGTTTTGCAATACCACTTTGAAAGCCCAGAGATCACCTATGCTCTACAACACTTGTGATAAAGGAAAAGAAGCAATTACCAGAGGCTTAACTTCAGCTCTGCCAAGCAAAAAGCTAGAAAAATAAATTTGTGATTCCATTGGGAAGCCTTGTTAGCTTACTTCAGCTTTGCAGAACACCCCTGTTATGCTTGAAATACTGTGCTTTACCTTCTCACTACAGACTTCAAGAGCTGCTCCCAGTGTCAGTTGTAGTTCTATGTTGTTCTATGTTACTATTACTATTTCACTAATGAGGAATCTACCAAATGATTCCTTAAAACTCTTAGGCTGCAGGAGACAATTGTAACTGACCTTGCTTGAAGTATTAGTTTTCTTAACTTCCTCAGATGTCTCTTTGGATTCCTTGCATACTGCCTCAGATACTGAAGAAAAAAAAAAGATTTAAGATGCATTAGAAAGTTATATAAAAATAAGCTCACATGAAGACATATTTCCTTTGGAATATATCCATCACAGCTCACTACATAGGACCATCATGTTTTTTTCTTTATTTTTATCATTTTACAGTAATGTAGGTGAGAGGAAATAAAAGAGAAGTATCTCTGACTTTTCTGCCTCTTAATCTATGAGATACTGACCTTTCTGACTTAAGTCTATGGACGTGATGATGAGGACAGGAAAACATGCACTAAAAGAACTTGAGTTAGGGAAAAAATAGAAAATTCAAACAGCTCTCTCCAGTTGCTCATTACACACACACACACAATTATATTATTATTATTATATTATTATTATTATTATAGCATTATATTTACAGTCCTACAAGAATTTTCCTTCTCTTAATGCTATTTTTTTTTTAAACAAAGAATGTCAATGCAGTTAGTGACTATGAAAAGCAAAACAATCCTTCGTTCTGATTCCAGAATCTAAAATTAGGCTTAGTTTCTTTCTCCTAATAAGAAAGCACTAATTCCTTTAGGCAGTTTCTGAATGTAATTGTTACTTTACTATAGTAATCTAAATTGTACATCTCACCTTGAGATTTCTCTTGTGAAGGTCCCATCTGAGATTTATTCCTCAGTATCTTTGGCTCAGGCTGAAAACTAACTCCTGTTAAATAGATAAAAGGAGTTATGTGAATGCTATGCAGCAACTCTGAGTAGGAGTGCTAGCATCCCTGAGGAAAAAAAACTTAAAAGGAACTCTTAGCTATGTTTGCTTCAGGAAGAAGTCTTCTCTTAGAAGTCCTTCACATTATTTCATCTAAATCAACTGCGATACAATAATAAAGGAAAACTTGTGATCAGTTAAAACATACTTTTCAAGAGCAACCTGCCCAACATTCTGACAAGAAGTTAGAACTAGGCTTCTGCCACCAAACACACCATTATTACTAAGCTTTTAAATACATCAAGTTAACCTAAAAAAGGATGGGTTATAGAAAAACTACATAGGTGCAAAGGAAATATCTCTTCCTTTCTACTTTTTAAATTACTTTCCTCCTTAGAAGCTGTCTAAAACGTCACACAAGCATTTGTTTTCTTGAAATACCTCTCCTTGCCAAGAACACATTACATCATTGCTATCACAACCTAATGAAAGCAGGGCTTATCAAAATATGACCTTTCTTGAGTCCAGGAGACTATTGCTATTTTATCAAAAGTGTGGAAAAACTGACTGCCAAGCAGAGTTCCAACTTGAGCCAGGTGAAACTCACTTGTTTCTCCCCTGCTTCCATACAAACACTGGATTCATGGCAAAAATCTGTGGAAAAGCTATAAGCTGTTGGAAAACCTGTGACCAAAATCTTAGAGGATTCCCATAGCTCTAGACAAAAAAAATCAGTAGTTACAGGCTCAGGTTTGCTTACTGGAAAAATCAAAACTCATCATTTACCGTCTTGAAGGGATTCTTGATTCTCATTATTACTGGCAGAACCATTGGGACCATTTGCTTCTTTTCCTGTTTCTTCCTCTACTGTCACCTTCATTTCCACATCTGATGTTCTGCTGCTTACTGCATCTACTTTCTGCTCCTCAATTTCTTCCTCTTCTTCCTCCTCCTCTTCCTCCTCAGGCCCATCATCTTTCATTTTTAACAAGCTTTCAGGGACATGTGGACGCTTCTCAGGCAACTTCTGCACGACAAAGAATTGTGCATTAGTACTAGGATAATATGGAAGTAGATGTCACCAATACTTGTTACAGGACAAAGCATGCATGTCATAGTCATAGGAATAACTGGTAGAGAACACTCACAGGATGAAAAATAGTTAAGTTGTAAAGGAAAAGATATTGACAGAGGTGGAAGAGGAAAAAAGATGTCTAATCCATAGTTAGAGAATGCAGGCTTTTCCTAAGAGCAACCCTGAGTCTGACAGTAACTGCTTGCTGCCCTGCACACTTCTCCACTCTTCCAGGCTTGCTCCTCCATGGTGTTTTTGTACATGTGATAAAACAGTTTCCACCTGCAGGCTCCATAGCCTGAGATGATGTCTGAGAACTAGCGCCTGACTCAGAGCACTTACCCCTAGGCTTCCAGTTTTCAGCTTGAATTTGCTCCCCCCTTTCATAGCACCGAAGAGAGGGAGGGTAATCTTTTTAGACTTGCTGTTTGCTTCCAGACTGTAACTCCCAGTCCTAATGAAAATTAGATACAAAGAAAAACAGTATATAGAATATCAATCAAGTCTTATATTTACCAATGCAAACAAATAAAGACGTTTGCCTAAAGACTTTATTTCTTTCATTTGCAGCATCTAAAGAGGAGCTTTCAGGAGATGACTCCTCCATCCTACATGTCTGTTTTAGGAGTCAGATACTTGTCATAACAGGAGAGAAAAAAAAGCCTATCAGACTCTCTCAAATTCAAATGCACTTATATACTTACATATGTATAATATGTATGTGTATATGTATAAACGCTCAGAGGCCAAACCTCAATTTAAACAAGTTAAGCAATTAAACCTCTAATTAAACCTCTAAGTTGCCATTAGCAAGTGATGAGCCCAGCACACGCTCCCATGAATTGCGGTAGCACTGCTGTGCAGTATTTGAACAGCCATTGCACTTGCCTTCTACCTTTCATGGAGTGAAAATGAGTTTCATACTGTAAAAAGTACTGTAAAATTCTTCAGTTCCTTCTGGAGATACAGATTGGGAAAAATGGTTTTTTTAAAAAAAAAAAAAAAAGGCTGACACCAGGCTTCCAGCTCTCATCTGGGCTTATCTTCACAGCTGCAGTGCATCTGCCTTGGCCACAGAAGCAGCAGTGGCTCTTTAGGGACAGGGCAGGTAGTTGTGAAGGCATTGTTGCTTTTGCATTTGGAAAACTGTCTACCTAATGGGAGAGTGCACAATTGCCCATAGCAAGTAACAATAGTGATTTTTTTCAAACTTTATCCAAAACTTACGGGGGCTTCAGCTCAGGCAGTTCTGCAGGCTTGACGAGCTTTATTAACCCTTTCAGTCTCTGCTGCTCTTTCTTCAACTCAAATGACCGTAGATGAAGTTTCTTTCGAGTCACGCTGTCTAAGGTGCTTCCTGATTTTATTTCTGTCATAAATTCATCCAAGGAATCTTGAGCTGCTGGCTGGGATTGGCCTAGGCAAGATAATGGTAAGAGGCATATTGCTATGAGAGGGGAAACGAGACTAAAAGGAGGAGTATAAGGAATACAAAATGATTATCTTCTCTGCAAGATCTTTTTGATGGGAAATAATGGAGGTTGATAGCTCTGGAAGGATGAAAGCATTTCTCCTAACAAAGCCTATCAGTAAATCTTAAACCACTTAGATATCAAAGCCTCTCAAAATTGAATGTTTATTTACGAGCAGATCTATCCATAATGTACATTGGTCATCTTAATTCAAGATCTGCTGTCTCTAAAAAAAAGTGGCTGTTGGGTCCTTTTTGTAGTCACAGCCCAAAATAAACACAGCTACAATGTATCCCACACTGCTTCAAATGTTTTTATATTGTGCTCAGAAATAACTTAGAGGCAAAGAAAAACGTTGTTGCTATTAACAAACCTTTACACAAGCAGTCTTCTGCTTTTCTACTATAAAAATTGGCAAATCTGATATTTATTTGCAGCTTTATAAGCATTTATCTTTTCATGCACATGAATAATTGTGACGAGTTAATTTAATTCAGCTGTAGCTGATTAAGTAGCACTTGCAATTTTAAATATGCACAAATCTAAATTATTGTTATGAGTATATACTTAAGCAGTTGTACATGACATGAAATATTTACACAAAAGTCTAATAAGTCTAACATTTTCCAACGTACTCAAATGGAAAGGATATTTCTGATTTGGAGACAAAACCTAGTTTGCATTTTGCAAACATAAAAAGCCACAACAATAACTGAAGACACACAAGATTAATAGGCTCCAAAAGACAAGAGCATCCATCTTCAACTAAATATAAATAACAGTGAAATGTTATAAAAGCAACTCAGACATAGTCTTTCCTAGCTATGTGTATGAACTTAGACAAAAATGATCATTGAAAAGCCAGTTAATAAGCAGCCTGAATCACCCAGCAGAAGTTAGGCAGAAGTTGAGGGGAACAACTATTTAATTTAAGCATTTAATTTCAATGGTAGTATTTCATGTCTAGTCAGGTAATTCAGAACAGTTGAAGGAACTGCAGTTTCACAGCTCACTACTTTAGTCCCAGACCAGCATAAGGGTGCTTCACTGGATAATCTTCACTGTGTCAGATGATCCTCCTAGCAAACAGGTTTCTCTGATTCTGCCCACAGTGACTTAGATCAGGCAGTTGAGCATACAGGGTTACTTTAGCATACAGTATCTGCTGCAGCCCTTTTCCAAGCTATTTAAGGAAAATTTGATATTGCTGGGAGGTGTATAAATCCTGGCTATTATACTTAATATTCCAGGGAATAAAAAGTTATTGGGCTATTTACTGCACCATCAGCTTAGCAATAATTTTTCTCTGAACTGGCAACCAAAAATGAGACTGCAGACCTCTGTGTTTTTTTGTTGTTTTTTTTTTTTTTAATCATTCAATTGTGTCAGTGAATTAAGAGAAGCCAAGTCAGTCCGTTTGTACTTAGTTCTGAAGAACTCTACTGAACAATTTATGAACTTTCATAGAGACTTTTTCAACAGCCACTTAATCTCACCAGGTACTTGTAAGAGGTGTTGCAATTTAGCCAGTCATTCACTCATTGGTCTCTCTTACAAAGAGCCAGACAAAGTGCCTTATAGCTCTGAAACTATATGTAATGCTGCAACAGTGCCAGACAGCTCCAGAGAGTATATGGATCACTCATGACCAGTACATATGCTCCTGTCTTAAAGATGCATTCCACATCTTTGATTAACCTGAGGCAACCAAAGAAATCTGAGAAAATACAAGCAACTAAAACACAAACACAAACTCGCAACAGAAAACTCTGTTTTATCCTGGCCTAGTTTTAAGAAGTTTGCATTTGATACTGAATCATTTTGTATTGCAATACCTTACAGGCTGTTAAAACTAACTTTTGAGTGCTGAAATTGCTATTTTTCCGAGGCTTTAAACTAGCTATATAAAAAGCTACAATTTACCAAACTGTGACAACATATCATTGGAATTATATGGTGTTAGTAGCTGTCTATAAATGAACTGATTCTTTGTTCTCCTAGTCTGTATTTCAATGACCCTTGTTGAAAAACAAGAAACAAAAGCTTCATGACACATGGGAGATGAGAATTACCAATCTCACACCATTAGCTTCTCCTACTAGTTAGTTGATCATCAACTACTTTTCAGTAAATTCACTTTGAAAACAGTTATTTCAAAGACACTGAACTGATCCATCAATTCACTGAAACAGTAAGATTTTCTGAACTGTCACTTCGTAGAATCAATCATCAACACAAACATTCATTCAAATGTGTTTGGGTGCAGCTCTGAATAACCAGGAAGAAACGTATAGATGTAATTCACAAAAGATAGCTCCACTGTCAGATTGCTATTTTCTTGCAGATTGAAGGTTTCCTAAAGAAGTTCTGACAAACTGGCATTGCAGCCTTTAATAAAGTTGATTTGGTTAGAAAGCTTTTTGTACTGTGAACCAACCTAAAAAAGGTTTCCTTCATGCCTTCCTTTTATTCCACAAGATGTTATCAGTAATTTAAATTAAAATGTACTTCTTTGTGTAGAATGCTTTTAAATTTAAGTTACTAGTCAATATATTTTCCCACTTAGGAAGTGGTCTGCCTTCATAGACAGACATAATCCTGAAAACCTGAAGGATTCCCTAGCTAGCAAGCTCAGTGAGCTTTCTTTTTTAAGATGCACTTGCAATGAGAGAAGTGAAATGAAAGATACTGTCTTTTCTCTTTCAGTTGTTGGCTTGTCTCTTATAAATGGTTCTGGAAGAGATAAAAAAAGGAATGTTTGAATTGGGTCAGTTTTGCTATTATCGGCAGATAAACAGTAATAACGTTCACCCTGTTATGTTCCAGGATTTCGTATGCTCCCCCCTTTACCTTTGATGTGGTATACTTCTGGAAAAAGTTGCATTCATTAATAAGTCACTAAACACATAATAGCACATAAATACTGGATGATGAGCACCAAGCACCCTACTTCAGATAACTCTGTTACCTGCATACTTTCCTGTCCCTTTGTGAAAAGGGGACAGGAACAAATGCATGTAGGCATGATTCTATGATATACAAAAATACATTTTCATTTATTTACTATTTCTTTTTTTTTTAATGAAAAGCACTACAATCAGAGACTTTGTATCCTACCTTTCCCTGAAGCCTTCAGCTTTTCTGTTATCTCAGAGAGCTCATTTTCAGCCTCCTTTAGCTTTGTAACCTATGAGAAAAAAACACTTTTGTGAGATTTTTATCTTCTTAAAAATTTCCTTCTAAATGTTCCTCAAATAGCCTACCACATTATTTCTATTTTTCTATTCCTGATTTTTTATCAGCAATTTCTGGGATGAAAAACATATTGTTTTTAAGAATGATCTAGATTATATCAGGAAGTTATTTGAACAGTGTGAAAGAACTTTCTGAAACACAAGAAAACATGTAATGCTTTTAGAGCTGTGTCCTACCAATCAGTGTTAACCTGGCCCATTGATAAAGATCTGAAATAATACTAGAGTTCGGGCTAAGAACAACAACAACAACAAGATCTGGAAATATTTTTAAACTTTCCTTCTCAGTAATTATACATTCATTAAAGAATAGGCCTGGCATGCCATAATTATTCTTACCAGTGAGTCGTAAGTCTCTGGTTTTTCTTCTATTTTACCAGCTTTTTTCATTCTGTTCAGTCGCTTCTTTTCTACAGCACCAGTTCGATCAAGGAAGGTGTCATCATCACTGTCATAAAAATCCTCATCTTCCCAATTCTTTGACTTCCTCTTTCGAGATACTGGGAAAGGTTTAAGGGAGAAAGCAAGGAACAAAATAATTTTCAGACCACCGAGAAGTCAAAGAAATTCAGTACAGCAATCTTGAATTCCTAGAGCTTCAGGTTTTTTTAGAACTAGCTCAGCATTTAACAGGTTATTTACCTGCTTCTTGCCTCAGTACTCCCCTAGCATCCAGTAGCCTGCAAGCTTCCAGTGCACACTGGATCATTGCTTCTTTCTTCTTTCCTGAATGGAGAACCTCTGCCACCAGCTGCTTCCCTGATGCATCATCCACAGGCAATCTGTTTAGTTCAAAGAATTGCAGAACAGCTTCAATAGAAACAGCTTTTCATGAATGCTTCTCACATATTGTGTTTGTCATGCTGACATTGTTTCTTCCACCTCTCTATAGTCTTCTTTTGTGGGTTACCTATTTTTACATTTCATTTGATACACTACTAACCCAAACACAAGCACACACTTTCTAAGCTTAAGTACATTTTTATTTTGCTAGCCCAAACAAGAAATCTTCCTCCATTGATGTTCATCTTGTATCTACGCAACACCAGTAACAAATACTTTGTGCCATACTGAAGCAAAGATTCCTTAAGAAATGATGAGATGTTGTACCTACCTATTTGAGACCTATCCTGCTTACTTCCCACCTGCTCACCTTCTCCTACTTAGTAAGAGAATGTTACTGGCCAGTGGAAGGGATTCAACAAAAACTACATTATAACATCAAATAACTGAACTGGAGTGCACAACAGAATAAACGCTTTTTTCATTCTTCTTTTCCATTAGGAATTAAAACACTGCTTCCCAGTTTCTTGTCTTGCATTTCAATTTCACATATTTCTCAAAACAAGGGGAACTGAGAGAACCTGGTGTCATGTTTTCCCAATTTTCATTTCTTAGTATTATCAAGTGCTGACAGATCAGAAAAAGGAGTAGACACTAAAGTAGACACAGATCCTTGACCTTTTCAGTATCAGGACTTAAGTCTAATTCTGGCTGGCTTCCTTGGCAAGCATGATAGACAAGTAGTTCCTTTTTATGTGTGAATTCAATGAAGCCACTTTCTACATACAAAAGTGAATGAAGTTATACATACTTAACCCTGCATAGCCAGCTATTGTGCCCACGATCATCATATTCGTATTCTAACTCTTCTCCTGGAGAGGAAAAAATGAAAGTTGATGTAGTTAGCAAAGATGAAGTAAGAAGGAATAATCTTTAGAGCAGAGAAAATTTGCCTTTTTCTTTTTTCTTTCTTTCTTTTTTTTTTTTTAGGCCATGAGATCTTCAGCTGATATTAAATTCATTTGGACATTTTTCATAGTAAAGGATCTTTAAGTGACCTGTTTGGTAAAACACAGTTCAAAGAAAAAAAGAATCTTGCACCTGCAGGTATAGAAGTAAATAATACCGAGGGAGCAACAGTTTGCATTTTGGGTTTACAAATATTGTTTACCTTGAAGATTAATTTTTCATATTAAAAAATACCTAAGTCATTGGTAAGCTTAAATCCATGCATTATCTTTCAATACTTTCCAGTTCTATCTCCTGAATAGCACCATCTGGAATTTGATCGTTTGGGACTTTTCAATAGTTTCAAAAAATGGATGTGATTTGAGTGCCACTCCAGAGAAACACAAGGTGCTCTCTGCAGCTTCCAGTTGAAAAGTTAGAAATTAAAGAAGAAAAACACCAAAACCTTGACAAAACAAAAAGCTCTGCCTACAGTGTAAAGTTTTACTTTCACACTTTAATTCCCAGAGAAAAATGGGAAACACCCAACTCTACTAAACAAAAATAATCTACAAGTAAAAAATACCTTCTCTGTCAAAAAAGCCCTGCAAAGCCTTCCTGGGATCCTTCATATAGAAGGCATCTTGTACATCCTGAAATTCAATAGCAATAGGGTTTTCTTCAGCCTCATCCTCCTCAGCATCCTCCCCTGGAAGAGCAACATACAAAGTACAAACAAAATGGTGAAAAATTAGAATGAAAACACCAAGAAATTTCAAATACCATCATTTTGAGTAACGCATCAGCTATATCATCCTAAAATTATAACTTTTAACTGTTTCTGTATCCAATCAAAAACCACTTCTTAGTTATTCCGTTTTGCACGTGTCAGTGCTGTTTCTGCACTTTCAAGGGTTTATGTGCTTATACATTTTAACTCACAAAACAACGCATTTTGTACTGAAAGGCTCATTAATAACTATTTATATAAGATGTGGGCTTCATATTAAAAACCTGAAGACAGCCTCTTACATAAGCAGTCTCAAGTATTCAAATTCCACCTGTCAAGCAAAGACATCAACATGGGAAAAAAAACAAACAATGACATTGCATAAACTAAACTCTCAGTTTCATGTCATTTTTGAAGTACAGACAACCCCCCTTTTCCCCAATTAAAAAAAAAAAACACAACAAAACAACCTCTGCGTTTTGCCTTCTCACAGCACTCCTATTTTTAAAAAGAAAAGGGCTGATTTGCACTCAAAAACATTCACTGGCTTTGGATGCTTTGAAATCCAACTGAAATTTCAATGCCAGTGCTCACTGAAAATTCACTTAAAAGCCTCCCAAGGTGTATCAGCTCATCTATGCATCAGTACTCACCCATTCCCCATGAGCAGCTCATATCAACGTTCTGACTGCTCTCACTTCCTCGCTCCTCTTTTTCATCTTCCTCATCAGAATCCTCTCCCAGCATGGTCTTTTCCAGCTTTGCTTGCTGCTGCTTCCGCAGTGCCTTCAGCTGTGTCACGGTCAGCTCTGACTCAGATTCCTGGTCTTCTTCGGGTCCCTATGTCACAAAGAACAACTTTATGAAAGTGTTTTAGAAAGAAAAAAAACCCCAAAAACTTATCAATAGACATGCAAATTAAAGGCAGTAACATAAACAGATCACAGTGCTCATGTAAAAGCTGAATTACTGGACCAACTGTTATAGATTGCATGCTCAGATATATCAATTTCAGTGGCCAAAAGGGGCAAAAAAAGATAAGCATTACTGGTTAGTTGTAGGCAGCTCAAACACAGCTTTATTTAAAGGCAAAAAGCAAGGCCACCAGTGCCACAAAGGAAGCATTTGAGGAACAAGCAGCTAAACCCTCTGATGCACGAGTGGAGCAGTCTGAGTGCTTCCAGACTCCTGCTAATACAAGCACTCTCTTGGGCACAAGGAATCACAGAATGGTTTGGGATGGAAGGGATCTCAAAGTCCACTCATTTCCAACCCCCAGCCATGGGCAGGGCTGCTCCCACCATCAAAGGCTGCACAGGGCCCCATCCAACCTGGTTTGACACCTCCATGGATGGGGCACCGCAGCTTCCTTGGGTAGCTGCTCAAATTGATACGAGCACAGCCGAACCACCCCACATCTCAGAAGCGTTTCCCACTCGCTCCGGAACCCCGAGATCGGGCGGAGCCACCCGAACTCCCGCGCGTGACCCGGGAAAGCCGCCGTGCGGTCTCTGATCCCCTCTCCCGGCCCACCTGCAGGAGGAAGAGGCGGGAGCTGCCGCCGAAGCGCAGCCCGTGGCCCACCCGCACGCGGCAGTAGGTGCGCGGCGGCACCCGCGCCTTGTTGAGGAAGGTGCCGTGCGTGCTGCCCAGGTCGTACACGTAGAAGCCGGCATCGGCGTCGGGGCCGTCGGCGGAGCGGCCGCGGTACTGCAGCACGGCGTGGTGCCTCGACACCGACGGGTGCTCCAGGGCCAGCGCGCAGCCGGGCAGCCTCCCCACCAGGAACCAGCTGCCGCCCTCCAGCCGCACCGAGCCCAGCAGCACGCCGCCCTTCAGCACCTCCAGCCCGTAGCCGGCATCGGCGGGCGGACGGCCGCCCCACGGCGGCTCCTCGTAGCGCGGCGCCGGCACGGAGGCGACCGGGCGGGGCGGCACGGGGCCGGGATCGGCGTTCTGCGGAGCGGGCAGCGGGCGGCTCGGCCGCTTGAACTCGGCGGGCTCGGTCTCCGTTTCCATGGCCTCTGCTTCCATGGCCTCCGCCATCTTGGCGCGTCCGTTCCCAAATAGGTTCCTCCGGGCACGAGCGCTGCCGGGGCTGTGGTACCGGGCGGAGGGAAAGGCGCGGCTCTGCGGTTCGCACCGTTGCCTCGACCACGGCTGGGGGCAGCGCGAGGGGCGAGACCGGCGGGGGGGGGAGAAGGGGGGGGCGGCGGGAGAATAACGGAGAAGGGTGGCGACCGCCGTCGGAGCTCCGTGCGGAAGCGCGGCGGCTGCGGGGTGCCGCGTTTGGCGGCGGACCGAAGCCGAGTTCCGGTAGGGCGGAGGGGAGCGCGGTACGGCGGGGCCGAGCTTGCGGCCTTCCCCTCCGCCGAGTTTCCTGGCACCGCTCAGGGCCCGGATCGCTGTGCGGGGCTGGGGCTGCGCGGTGCTGTTCTGCTTAAAGTCGTTCCCTCCTCGCTGCTGCTTTGCTTTCTTCTTTCCCCTTCCTTAGGAGAAGCAGCTGTGCCATCAGTTGCACGGACGTTGCGTCCTGATGCTGTCTTGAAAGCTGCGTTTCTCACGGTGACTTTGGAAGAGTTTTCTTGCCATCACTTATTTGCTCTATTCCGAGGCCAGCGCCGGTTTGTTGTTGCCCAAAGCTGAGAGCTTCTCCCCGCGGCTCGTACTGCAGTGTCTGGGAGCCTTCCCGGTGCCTTGAGGACGATCCTGTCACAATGCTGCGCTACTGGGGTGAGATCCCAGTGCCATCCAACCAGGCCAACCGCAGCTCTTTCGACCTGCTCCAGCGTGAGTTCCGCACGGTGGAGGTGCAGGACCCTCCTCTGCACCAGCCGTCAGCCAACAAACCCCGGCCCACCACCATGCTGGATGTCCCCTCCGAGCCATGCAGCCTCACCATCCACACCATCCAGCTCATCCAGCACAACCGGCGGCTGCGCAGCCTCATCGCCATGGCCCAGGCACAAAACCAGCAGCAAGCGGAGGGCATCAAGACAGAAGACAACGAACCTCTGCCCTCTCGTCCGGCCTCACCGCCTCTCCCCGATGACCTGCTTCCTCTGGACAGCAAGCCCCCCAAAATGCCATTCCAGCTGAGGCACAGTGACCCAGAGAGCGATTTCTACAGGTGTGTGGTATTTCCTTGGGTTCTTTCCAGTTGGAAATTAGGAAAAATTTCTTCTCAGAAGAATCAGTGAAGTGTTGGAACAAGGCTGCCCAGGGAGGTGGTAGAGTCATCACCATCCTTGGAGGTCTTCAAGAAATGTGCGGATGTGGCACTGAGGGACATGGCTAATGGGCATGGTGATGTTGGGTTGGTGGTTGGACTGGGTGACCCTAGTGGACTTTCCAACCTTAATGATTCTATGAATCCTGGCTGCAGGAAAGCTGAGTGTTCTTAAATATATATGTTGTTTTGTCAATTCCCTAAGGCTGATGAATTGTATGTAAAGAATAAAACTGGCCTAGGAACAGAAAGATTGAGATGCACGCAACATGCACTTTGTTTAAAACAAATGTGTCTTTGCTTTCTGTCTGTAAAATGCAGATATGTAGTGCTGATTTCTGTCTCACTAGCGCTCAGCTTAGTGGTTGTTTTGCCATCTTCAATGGTATTTTGATAAAGCTAGTTATTGAATGCCAAGTCTTTTATATTTAGGTCACTTACTACTAGACTGTCTGTATTCTGACAGTTCAGAAGATACACAACTGGGCGTTGGCCCATTAGCTTTAGGTTCTGAGAATATGCTTTGCTAATTACTAACTTGTAAGATTTCAGTGCCTGAGGATGCATGGTGTTGCCATCTCATCCTACTTCATTATTTGTAGCCTGGTCAGATATGACAGTGAGTGCTGGTGAAGGGAATTCCTGTCTCTCCAATGCTGGCTCCACCAGCCAAGGGATTGAGGAAATAGAAAGGAAGGTTGCATTGCTCCTTTGCAGCCAATCTTTGATTACACAGTATTGCCACCTCCTCCTTATCAACCCTCTGATGAACACTACATTCACATGGAGATGCTGCATTTTTTGCAGGATCTCACGGTACCTCTTAGACTGTGCATTTAAATTCAGAGATTAATCCTCACTGTTCTTAAGAACTGCTCCAATAAATGTGATATAGGAGAAAACAATACTTTTTTTTTTTTTTTTCAAATGTGGAAAATTTACATCCATAAAATATAATTGGTTAAATGTGTCAGATCTTTTATGGCCTGGGTAGCATTCGGTGATTTTTATTGAAAGACATTCCTTTTGGTAACATAGTCTTTCTGGATAGTGGAGCAAGACTTTAGTGCTGTTTTTGGAGGAACATGCTGTCTTGGTTTCAGCTGGAATAACAATTCAGATATTTCAAACTTGAATTCCTTCGGTATTCCTGGGTGGATTGCCATCTGGTCCTGGTGATTTGCAACTGTTGATGTTACATTTCTTGGAATACACAGTAGGGGATTAACGTTTGATTTTGGCTGGTATAGAAACAGAAGGTAACCCTAAATCATCACCTTCATCCTTCTGGGATGAAATAAAGTGATTTGCCTGAAGAGGTGAAGAGATATCCCATGTGTATAAGTTTGAGCTCTCTGCCTCCTGCCCTTAATTGCATGATGGTTTGTAGAGCTGAAGTAGCCTTGTGTACCTTGCAGTCTTCTGTGCTAACCTTCCTCGTGCCTTTAGTTTTAATCTTAAATTTTCAGTGGCCCTGACAGTGGTTTGGGGGCCACTTTGCCCTTTTGCTGTCGCTTGGGTGTCTCCGAGGTGCTGGTAAACAAATGTTATTTAACAGTCAACCACATGGGGGAGTTTAAGGACTGGATTGCAATAAGTAGATGGGCGGTTTGGAAATGGAATGCTTTGTGGCCGACTGATTTATTGTGAGCCGTGGTATAGAGTAGTGTTTAACTGTGTGCCTGCTAAACCGAACACATTTCCACTTTTTCAGTAGGCAACCTGTGGTTTGCTGTTGCATATTGGCTGTTTTAAGATACTTACATGAAGAACAGCAGCTATTTGTATTGGATTAAAGTTACAAGATTTGTCAGTGCTTGTTTTTAGTGGGTAAAACAGTCGAGGGAGGGACCATTCTTCTTTTTGACAAAACATGATATTGCTTAGTTTTATGATGCCTTTTGTGTGTCATTGTCAGAGTTACAGTGTTAGGCTAAATGCATATTTTAGTTTCATTTAATTTAGTAGTAACTTTGGTCTCAGAAGCAGTTTGTAGGTATGTTTGTCCATAGGAAGAAAGGAAAAGTGTCTAGCTTGAATTAGACCACAAGTTTCTTTAATATAGCCGTGTTCTCTTCTGTTTCCTTGTTATTCATTTTTGTCCTTTGAGCTCACAGCCCTATCTTTTATTTTGTTGTTCAAATGTTAACCCCTTGGTTGATTATTTTTTTTTCATTTTTTGTAGCACCTTCTGCCCCATACCATACCCATAATCCCTGTTTCCACATCCCTTTTGTGGTGAGGAGGAGGCAGCACCCAATTTACTGCTATTTTTCAGTTGTTCTGGCCTTTTCAACCCCCTTCAGAAATCTTTGCCAGCAACAAATTTAATTAGGACTCTGTTCCTTTTCTGCATTTTTTTTAGGCTGTGGATAAATATGTGGAAAAAAATATTTGATTCTGGCACAGATCCCTGAGGAATGCCCTTAGCTTTCCAATGTAGATCACTTATATACTTGCTTGTCAATGGCTTTGGAGGGCTGTGGCAGGCTTGTGAAGCAGGTTTTCCACTTACAGGAGCTATCTGGAGTCTTTCTGAACATATCATATTTACCCATCTGTCCTCTAACTCTGTTCTTATCATTTCTGTGAATTTTCCTGATGTACTAGAATAGTACAGGCTTACCAGCCTGCAGTTTTTCATATTTTTTTTCCCCCCCTGAATACACTGAAAGAGTATTTTCACACTTCCTACCTTCTGGTTCTCATGGGCCGTGGCACTTTAAAGCAAGAGGTGATTCACCACAGCTATTCAGATGTTTCATCCCTGAATTTCTGTAGTATTCTTGGGTGGATTGCCATCTGGTCCTGGTGATTTGCAACTGTTGATGTTACAGTTCTTGGAATACACGACAGGAGATTAACATTTGATTTTGGCTGGTACAGAAACAGAAGGTAAATTTAAAGCATAGTTGATGAGGAATAAGTAAGGAACTGTAAACTTACAGCTGCCATTTCAACAGGAGATTCTCACCGTAATATGGCTGTTAGCTCTTCCTTCCACTCTGTTCAGCTTCCCCCTATTAATATGGATCCATTGTCGAAAGAAACCTAACTTACTAATTATACTGCTCTCCAGAGGATTTTTTTCGTGTGTGTGTACATGGTTGCTTTCTTAATGGATTTCTCTGGCATTTTCTCATTTGTGTACCTGACCACATCATGTCTGTGCTTTGTATTGAACTGAGAATTGAACTGGGAGCTCGCAATGGGATCACAGCTCGTGGCAGGAGGTCTAATAGTTAAATGTTTGTACAGAAGTAGGGAAGTGCATGTTGGTGGGATAGCAGGGTTAGCATTGAGGGGGATTTGGAGTCGTAGAAATCAGAGCAGGCAGAACATGCTTAGCCTGTTGGATAAAGCATTTCAGTTCCACCTTCTAAACTTTCTGGCGTTCTGCATTGTCCCACTGAGACCCAATCTTTTTTCCAAATGTTAGCTATTACCTGTTGCCATTATCTACTGAACAGTTTCTGTGTATACCTGTGCATCCTCCTGCAGGCAAAGCAAAGCTATTTGAAAATAGGCTTACTCAGGATGAGGCAGAAAGAGGCCCTTTCCCAAAAGGAAGCTTATTTTTCATTTTGAGTTGGTATTTTTGTTCACCAATACATGCCCTGATTAGCATAATCTCTTTTTTCCCCCCAATGTTCTCCTTTATTTTATTGTATTGGGAAAAATGGCTGTGAAATGATCTTGATGCACCTAATTTGGTAGAAATTCAACTCTTTGATGAAATGTTTCCTAAAACTAATGTGTTCATAAGAAAACAATCCCTCCCTCCATCTGCCACTAGCTTATGCTCTCCTATGAGGGAGAAGAGCACTTCAGTCCATTACTGCAGGTGAGTAAACCTCAGCTGTTGATGCTTGTACTGACTCTGCCCAAACATTTTCCCCAAGGTGGCACAGCAAATGGACCATAAGCTCTCCTTTCCTTTCAGAAAAAAGTCTTTAAAGGAAGGGAGCTTGGGTGAATGGACTGTGGTGCCTTTTGGGGGCTGCCTGTGTGTCATGCTAACTGGCTGACGCAGGAAACGAGCCTTTTGTGAGTTCTGAAACCTTATGAATAATGAAAATAAGCCCTATTGGTGTAAACTGGTCATTTTTCTCTTGTGTGTTGGTGTAAAGTTCTGTGTGTTGCAGATGGGTTGGTAACAGTGGAATAAAGCTCAGCTTTTGGACCTGATGAGTTTGTATTTTGGCAGGTTGATTTCTGTCTGGAACGTCATCTAGTGTTAGTGACCCATGGAAATGGTCATGGAAATGTTGGGAATACAAAACTGAAGAGTGAGAAGGTGGCCAGTGTTTGTGATGTCTCATACTGTATCCTCCATAGAAATGATCACCTCCAAGTCATAGGCCTATCTGCTGGTGTTGTTAATCTCTGGTGACAGAATTTTAGGGATAAAACTCTCTTGTTTACTTGTAGCTAACATGACATTGGTAATAATAGGCTTGCTTTTGGGTGGCAGCTGGATGGAGAGTCTTTTGGGAAAGCAGCAAGTACTGCAGAGAGTGGCATTCTGCATAATAGTATTTGGGGGGTTGCTTTTGGAGGTGTTGGACATCTGGATGAGATCTAAGACCAGTGCACTTTACCTGTGATGATTGGAGGAAAGAAGAAGTTTACTAGGAAGATTTGACATTAGCTGTTCTCAACTTAAATATGTCTGCATGCCCATTTCTGTTTATTTTTCATCTTATTAGATGGTACTTGGAAATTAAAGGAGATGAAGAAAAAAGATATTGTTTTCTGTTAATGTCTATAGCAATGTTTCCATTTCTTTTTTCCTGTCTAATCAGCTTTTTAATCATCTTCTCTTATTGTTTGTCGTGGAAAACAGGAAATCAAAGGAAGGAAAAATAAGAAAAACAAAACAAAATTGATTGACCTTAGCAAGAACAAGAGGTGGGGAGTTGGATTTGAGTACAGTACCTGAAATTTCTTTTCTCTCTGTCTTTAATTGATTAGACTTCAAGTTGATTATATCCCTTTCAGCACAGTGACCTAGCTGCATTTTAATGCTGGCAATTAGTTTCTTCTCCTCTAGGAATTTAAAAGAGGTATGACATTCTGTGCTGCTTTCTGAACAGTGATATGCATTCCTATATGCATATTCACTTCACAATTGGCTGAATATTCTGTGTCTAGCTTAAGTTTGTCCATAATGCTTTGTATGACTGGCAAACCATCAGTAGCAGTTATTTGTTTCTGTATTAATTGTAAACTAGTGTTTGTTTTTGGTACCATTTTGGTACCAAAATCCCTTTCTAGGCGCAGATTTTGATGGCGGCTTTCTGCTTCTTTTTCTTTCTTTCTTTCTTCCCTCCCCCAACCCCTCCTTTTTTTTTCCCCTTTTTTTTTCTTTCTTTGTTGTTGTTGTTGTTGTAAACTCCTTTTCCCAGCACTGTATGAGTTGTACAGCTCTTTGTAAGCTGCAGAAATCTGTCCCTGAGAGATGGAGGGGATAGTTAGGGAGATGTAAAAACAGCACGGATGACACTTGGTTTAGAAAGGAACTGATGAGCTTTTAATTCATTTTGTCAGAGCACCGGCTGTTTTCTTTCCATAGTAGTCACATAATTGAGTAGGAAACTGGGATGTGAGTCATTTTCCAGCAATTAATGACTGGGATGAATCCATGACCTGAGATCCGCATGCTGTTCTTAATATCCACTTAGTAATATTGTCACCTGCAGCTCTTAATATAGTGTGCTTGCCACCCCTCTGCCTCTTTACTTGAATAAGCAGAAAGTGTTGAGCTGAGCTGGTGTTCTTTAAAATGAACCTCTGGGCTTCAGTTCTCATAGCTCTGAGCTTAACCTCCCATTGTCAGTTCTCTGAAATGTTATCTTTTCTACTGCTATGTTTCAGTGGTTTCGTATGGGTCAGCTCTGAGGATCAGCGGGAGCCATGGCTTTGTGACCCAGTGGCTCAGTGAGGATGAAAGGTTCTCAATGGCTTGTTGGAGAAGCAGAATAGTGAGAATTTTACCAAGACTACTGCTGCCTTCTATGTAAATCATTGGTGTTGTTTAATCAGGTCTTGTTACTGGAGAGGTTGTGTGCGAATAGTGTGTGGGGAGAGTGAGACCAAGTCTCAGAATGGGCTGAATGAGATGTTGGAAGAAATTGATCAGAAACAAACGAAGGGTGAAATTGCTAGCTTTCTTCAACCATTGATTCCGAATGGTGTGGAAGAAAGTAAATAAACACCGTACTTAGCAAAAGGATACTTGATTTTTGACATCAGCAGCTGAGGATTGTTATGGGTGAATAAATGGCGTACGTTTAATTGTGAGTTTAGAAATATAGTAGAAGTGTGTTTACATTTCTTGTTAAAACTTCTCCTACTTCATCATCTTTGTTTCCTACATGGATTATCTATTTGTTATCACACTGTGTTGAAAAATTTGGTTGCCTGACTGTAACTGAGTGATATTGGAAGTGCTCATGTTAGTTGTTCTGTCTCCTCTGTCCTACACTGTCACATACTCCTGCTTAGCAGAACAGACAAGAGAGGTCTTAGGCCAAGATTGAGGAATGCTGCTTTTAAGGCAGAAGCTCTGCAGGCTTCCCCGGAGACTCTGTGTTTACTTGCTGTGTCACAAGTTGGGATACCTAGTTCTCTGTCATGCTCTGTGATTTTTGGGAGTAAGGATATGGAAGTGATCTTTCTGGCTACAGTGTAGCTTTATGAGATGTTCCCATTTCTGACTTTTTATGTATGTCTTGTGCATTATAAATTCAAATCTTGTCTATCCCAGAAGCCTTTGTATCTGACTATTAGGCCTATGACATCAGAGATAATAAGGAAGAGAAATGTAATTAACTGAGAGGGAAAATGATTTGCATTTGTTATTTAAAATGCCTTTTTTTTGTTGTTTGTGTCAAGTACCCATTTAATTCACATCTCTAGGAGAAAAGCTCTTTGGTGGGAAGGGAGTTGCTTAAGGATTCAGAAGATTTGCATCCCACACTTATGAATCACCCAAGGATTCTTCTAGCATTAAAAGTGAAAATGGGACTCAGTAGCACTGATTCTGAGGGAAAGGGAAGGAGAGAAAGTTGATAAACCTGCGCTAGATGTATTCTTATGTAATGGAGAAACTGTGGTGAACCTCAAACAACTTGCTTTCCCTCTGTATATCGTGTTCATATTGAAAATATGTTTTGAACTGATAAATTATTTGAGTTTTTAGAGGCATGCTCTTTTTCTCCTTTCTGTTTTTTTAGAGGAAAAGGGGAGCCTGTGACTGAGCTGAGCTGGTCCTCCTGTCGGCAGCTTCTCTACCAGTCAATGGCCACTATCCTGGCTCACACGGGCTTTGATTGTGCCAATGAGAGTGTCCTGGAAACCCTGACAGACATAGCCCACGAGTACTGCTTGAAGTTCACCAAACTGCTACGCTTTGCTGTGGATCGAGAAGCCCGACTGGGGCACACCCCTTTCCCAGATGTCATGGAGCAGGTCTTTCATGAAGTGGGCATTGGCAGCGTGCTCTCACTGCAGAAGTTCTGGCAGCACCGCATTAAGGATTATCACAGCTATATGCTTCAGGTGAGAGCAGCAGTGGTGAGTGGGCAGCACCAAGATGCATGGCTCAATTGTTTGTTCCCTTAACAATATTGAGATTTTCCAATTAGGAAACCTCATGGTATGGAGAAGAGTCATAAAGGAAAAGGGAAATAGGATTTTTTGGTGGAGATGGCTTATTTGTGTCCCTACAGAGGCTTAAGAGTGTTGTGCTGATATTTTGGGTTTAAGGGGAGTCCCCCAGCTGTGTCATTACCCAAAGTAGAAGTAAGGTCAGTAATGACAGATTAACTGAACTTTTTGCTTTAAAGGGATGTTTGGCTACTTACCAATTCATAAATAAAGGGAGCAGATGAACAAAAATTACTGAGGTGTACAATGGCTTGTTTTAGCATTAACAAGGGGAGGCTCGCTTAAGCAATTAGAGTATAGGACTAGTAGTGTACTGATATGAGTCATTTAACAAGATTTCCCAATCTATAAGGAACTGCACTTCTGTGGTGAAAGGAGAGGAATTGTTAAATCTCCTGGGAATGAGAGGTGCCATGTAAATGTAGGTTGTGTGAGTAAGGACACAGTTTTTCTTGGTCCATATATTGCATTGAATTGAATGTGTGTTTTAGTTGAGTGACAGAAGAGTTTCAGGAATGCAAGAGTTGATGTGGGAACTTTATTCAAACTCATCAAAAACTGAGATTTGAATCAAGTAGGTAGCCCGTGACCAAAGGCAAAACCTACTACAAATAATCTTTCTCTTCCTCATTGTCATGCTGTATGAGAGTGCTAGTTGACTCATCTTGGAGCAGTTCTTCGTGCTCCTTCCTATCCCATGGTTGTCACCTTGTGTATTACAGAGGTAGCATTAATCAGAAACACCTATAACTACATGTAGTATTTAAATTGTGATGGACTCTTGCTTGTGCATAAAAATAGCATCATCAAGATTTGTCCTCATTAAAAGTGTTTTTGTTCCAAGGAACTGATTGCATGATTGCATTAGTTAAAAGATACTCTTGTGTTGTTGGACATTTATTTATTTATTTATTGTCCTCCCTGGTTTGAAGGGCTGTGAAGCTGCTTGTAGTTAATGGTTGTATCCTGATACCTAGATGTTGTTTCTTTCTGGAATTTGGGTTTTCTGTATCATTCAGCTGATGTAATTCATCCCACAGCCAATTGTTGTCTTTCTTATTCTGATTTTCATATAGGCTAAGGTCCACACTAACCCCTGTGTTTAGAAACTTATCTAGAAGGGGGAAATAAGCTCTGCTGTTATTTTTCTTTCTTTCAGAAAAGGCCTTGGGCTTTTTGTGAACACGGTTGACTGAACATTGGGATTCAAGTGGTACAAACCAGTACTTGTTAGAAGCAGACTAAATCTGGAAGTCTTAATTTAATTGCTTACAGTTTTAACACTTCTAGAAGCAAGGAGATTGTTCCAAATCTCATTCCTGTGTTTCAGTGGTCTGGAGAAAAATGTGGTTTTTTTTGCTATGAATCTCAGTGAGGGTAACCAGGCTTTGCTAGTGATGACTATAGCACCTAATGAATTTCTGATCTTGTTTTATAATGCTGGAGTTTTAGTACTGATAGACAGGAAAACGTTAGAGGTACAACCAAAGAATAAAACTGAGGTATTCTGTCTTGATTTTTTCCTTTGCTTAAATTTCTAGGCCTCACAGTTTCTGTCTGTGAAATAAATCTGCTCGTGTATATCAAGCAGATGTGTTAAGGAATTAAGCCTTCTATTAAAGTTCCTTGATAAGGATAGGTTTCCTTAAAGGGGGAAAGGATCTTTTTTTTTTTTTTTCCTGAAGCTGACAACTGCATACTTGTTCAGCCGCATCAGACAATAATAGTCAGGTGGAAAGCACACTGCAATGTAACTGTCATCAAAGTCTCTGAAATCACTGTGACCTTTCCTGTCTCTCTTTTTTTCTCTGTCTTCCCTGATCTTTGACAGGTTAGCAAGCAGCTTTCTGAAGAGTATGAGAAGATTGTCAACCCTGAAAAGGCAGCAGAAGACACAAAGCCTGTGAAGATTAAGGAGGAGCCTGTTAGTGATATCACTTTCCCCATAAGCGAGGAGCTGGAAGGAGATCTTGCTTCTGGTGACCAGTCTTTGCCTGTTGGAGTTCTCGGAGCTCAAAGTGAGAGATTCTCTGCAAATTTGGAAGTAGAAGCTTCCCCACAGACTTCAGGTAGTTGCTTGTTGTTACTACTACAAACAGTCCCTCAGCTGTTCCGTGTGATCAGGTAATGATAGGACAAGAGGTAACAGTTTCAAACAAAAAAAGGGGAAATTTAGATAAGATGTTAGGAGGAAGTTCTTCACTAAGAGGGTGGTGAGGTACTGGAACAAATTGCCTAGGGGTGCTCCATTCCTGGTGGTGGTTAAGGCCAGGTTGGATGGATCTTTGAGCAACCTGGTCTAATGGAATGTGCCCTGTCCATGGCAGGGAATTGGGAACTAGATGATCTTTGACGTTGCTTCCAAGCCAAATCATTTCCCCTGAAGAACACACAATGGTTTGTTTATATGGTATTTATTTTTAGGGGATGGTCATTCTTGGCTTTGTTACTAGTTGCTACAGATGTGAGTACTGGAGTCTTTCTCTCAGACTGATATAACAAAGACAGAGTTTTATTCTCATTCCTACGCAGGAGGAGTGGGAGTGCAGGTGGGGTCTTCTTTGTTTCCTTGTTTTAGTTTGGTTTTGTATTTTTTTTTCTGATAGTCTGGATTTCTTGCCCAGAGTTTCATGTTACTGAGATGTTGAAGGCTATGTTCCTTGTGACTGGAGTAAATACAGGACTCTATGTAGGTTAGGCACTGAATGAGTTTGGAAAATACTAATGATTCTTATGCAGACCTCTGTATTTGGAAGACATCCTGGTAGTCACAGCCATTGCTTTATGAAAGTTCATCATTGATTTAAGTAAAATGTACTAGTGGGAGTCTCTCGTCCTCTTGCAAGTTTCCTGAAAGCTTGCTGTAGTTAGCTGCCACCATGGAAAGTGAAACAATGAGTAGAGTTGTTATGGAGACTATACTCTGTTTCTCAAAGTCATCCCTGTATATTGGCATTGAAGCACGCTGGTGGCTGGCACTGAACAATCTGCTGCTGCTATACCACGTCTGTATCTATATATGTCAATTTTATTCTCTGCACCATTTGATAGCACTGAGTTTTACAGAAAGTGAAGTCAATATTCTTTCCTCAAAAACAAACAGTTGTTTTTTTTTTTGGTAGAACCTTCTGAACTTTACCAGTCTTTACAATAATAAATGTTTCCCTTAAAAATCTGGTTAAAAACAATGTAATATTAACCTTAACATATGTATTATCTATTGAGGGCAGAGTGTACTTCTCAGTTCCTTAGCCTTTTTAAAACGTAGCATATTCTGTTGAATTAAAAAAACAAACAAACAAACAGGAGCAACAACACAGAACATACACAGATCCATCTGATGTGTTTCTGAAAGCTTATATTGTTTTCCATAGTACTTCTGAGATGTGAAGTGCTCACATTTTTGCAGGAGAGAGAATAGCAGGTTCTTCTGGCCCATCTGGGGTTGCAAGTGATTCATCTGGAAAGCTTGGTATAGCATCTACCACTTGAGACCCAGAGGTTAGCAAGCTTGCTGTATATTAAATGCCTCTTGCCTCTCTGATACCGAATTGATGTTTTCTAATTAAGAATACAAGTGCTCTGTTCCTCTCTGAAAATCCCTCTTCACTTCACAAGGGTCTTTGGAAGTCTCATCGCTGTAAGAAGTCCCAGTCTAGAGATGGGCAGGCTGGAGAGTGTAATATCACCAGAAGTGAGAGAAAGCTGCTGCAATTAGGATACCATCAGCTCAAATATGCAAGCGTGAGACCTGGAGGGAGGGTAGCAGTGCAACGGTGTCAGATGGCAAAATGTCCTTTCAGCCTTCTCTGTTCTGCATATGTTTTTGCTTATGCCAGGGGTTACAACTGTGGGCTAGCTGCTTAATTTCAGTGTAGCTGGAGAAATAGAGGCCAAATTGGAGATCTTGTTCCTCCACCCAGACAGACAAATGAGGATTAGCTCATTTGTAAAGTACTTGGAAGCTGAAGTGCTTTGAAGATGAAATGTGCAGTGTCACCACTTAAGTACTGTTAGTCCTTAGTGACACTCTTGATGACAGATAATAGAGCTGAAGGGAATAAGGTTGAGCAATGCAGAGCAATTGATGAAAGAAAGAAACAATAAGTTTAGTGAACACCTTTGATTATTGTGCAGGCTGGAGCTGCAACTCTGTGGAAGTAACAGCATTTTAATGATGTGTCCACTGTTGTTGAGAGGAATACATTCACTTGTGGTTAACAGAAAAAGAACTTTTCAATAAGGCAGCTGGACATCAGCAAGCACTTCAGCTCTGGCTTGCTATCTGACTACTGAACTGATGCAGGTTGTGTTTTTTGCCCTTGCCACCTAAGCCCTGGTATGGGCTACATGGCTATTTAAAAGATTCCCAATTCCTACATTAGAGAAAGTTCACAGTACAAACAAGTTGGAAGACTTGTTCTTGGTGTAACTACTTAGTAACAAGGGAATATTGTCAGGCATATGTTAGTAAGAGAGAATAGTAATAGTACATAGGAGAGGTTTGGTTGTGATTTAAACAGTTGCAAAGCTTAATAAAACCTAGCTTCTCAGTTTGTTTTACTCTCCATATGAATTTAACTCCTCAGAAGAGGGATCAGATGTAAAAGTGAGAGAAGATTTTAGGCTTTGGTAAGATTTGGGCTCGTTGTGTGCGTGTCAGCAAGAGGCCCAATTAGTATGTTTTTAATAGGATTTTTGCCTCTCTTAAAACTTTAAATAAGAAGATATAATGCAATCTATAATTACTACTCTTGGGGACAAAGCATTTGCTGTTTTTAAGAAGCATGGTTTCATAATCTTAGAAAATCCTCAGTCTGCTCACAGTTTGCACACTAGTCCAAATGAAAAACAAAACAAACAACATGTTACACTAGCATGGATTGGCCTATCTTCCTCTGCGGGATGAATTAAAAAATGGGAAGATTCCTCTGGAGTGTGTATCTGGGCACCCGTGTGATAAGAACTCATTCATTCTTCTTGTTGAGTTACGTTCAAACAGGTTTTAAAGAAATTAAACATTTATGGCCTATGTTTTGAACCATACTGATATCTTAGAAGGGGATGGATTTATTATTCGTTGTCTGCAGTAAATGCCCTCCCTCAGATCTGTTACTCCTGTTAGAAGTTAGGAGAAAGGGGAGCATGCAAATGATACAGGGCAAAGATTTGCTTTGGATCACTAATCCAACCTTCACAAGCATCCTGAAGATGTTTGTGGTCCAAGATTTGAAAAGTTGTTACTATTTTTTTTTTTTTTTTAATAATATTTACTAGTAGGAAGCCCCACATCCATTCTGAGTTAAAAGGTGCAAACCTGAGCAAGCTGGAAATATTGTAGCCTCACCTTGACTAACCTATGTTACAATGTTGTTGATAAGGCTATATGCATGAAGAGTGCAGTGAGGGAGCAGGGAAGAGCAGGTTGAATATTAGGAAAACTTAATTCTCCAAAAGTGTGGTCAGGCACTGCAATTGGCTGTCCGGGGAGGTGGTGGAGTCACTGTCCCTGGAGGTGTTCAAGAAATGTTTAGGTGTTGTACTGAGGGACATGGGTTTGCGGGGAGATATTGGTGGTAGGTGGACGGTTGGAGTGGATGATCTTGAAGATCTTTTTCAACCGTGATGATTCTTTGATTCTATGGTAGGAATCCAAGGAAGATCCTCCAAATTAATTTAGATAAAATATTCAATGATTTTCTCTGTATTTTAATGGAATTGTTTTAATCAGCCATTAAAAAAAAATCCATCTGATTCCCTGGACTGTTTAACTGCCTTCTTTGTAAAATGACCTGGGATTCACCATGTACCTATTTCCAGTCTCCAGCCTCCTGGCACAGATTTCCCCTATCTGAGAGCGGCCAGGGTTTACCTTGATGTAATGGGAGGCAGGGAAAAGCAGTGTTTCCTATCAACAGCTCTAGAGCCACAACAGGGACGCACAGCACACTTTCACCCCTCTTGGCCTCTGGGTTGGTGGCTGTCCCTAGCTGAAGCCATGTAAGCCTGGCTGCTGCTCTCAAGGTGGGGCCTGCACTGATTCTGATAACTGGATACAGGGCATGAGTAAACTGCACAAGACTGTGACAGGGGAGGTTCAGACTGGATATTAGGGTAATTATTTTTACCATGAGAGTGGTCACACTGGAACAGACTTCCTAAAGAGGTGGCTGATGCTCAGTGCCTGTCAGTGTTCAGAGGTTGTTTGGATAATGTCCTCATTAATATGCTTTAACTTTTAGCTAGCCCTGAAGAGGTCAAGTGGTTGGACCAGATGATCTTTAAAGGTCTCTTACAACCATTTTGTTCCATTCTTACTCCTGCTTGTACAGTGTATAGTCTGTGTACTGTTGGCATACTCATTGCTGCTGAGACACTCCTTCCTTGTTATTTCTCATGGAAGAAATCACACAGAGAATAGCATCGTATTTGCTCTGAAAGCATAGTATCATATTTTTTAGAGCTGGAACTACTGGGCTATTAAAAAGAAAGAAAACAAGCTAACAGTTTTTGTTTTTTTTTTTAATTTATTGTTTCACAAAAAAAAAGCTGACAGATTATTATTTTTTTTAAATTTATTCTTTCACACTGGTTGATGGTTATTCTCCAGACAATTTCAGCTGTAGGCTTGCTTTTACTTCTTTACTGCCACTGTCTCTTGCATCCCCTTACTGTTTGTAGTTTATTTTTTAACTTGGTTGTTAATGTATGCTTTTTCTTTCTCTAGGGGCTGAGGTAAATGCTTCCCCACTCTGGAACTTGGCACAGGTGAAAATGGAGCCACAGGAAAATGAGGAGGCCAATGTACATGGCCATGGAGTCCTAGGCAGTGATGTCTTTGAGGAGCCTATGTCAGGCATGAGTGAAGCTGGGATAGCACAGAGTCCCAATGGCTCTGAGAGCAGCTATGGTTCTCATTCTGCTGACAGTTTGATGGGATCCTCACCTGTCTTCAACCAGCGCTGCAAGAAAAAGATGAAGAAGATGTGAAGAGAGAGGGCCTTTTTATTTAGTTCTGATGGACTTGAAACATACCAAGAGAGTTCTATGATGGCTATGATATATATAAATGGGGCTGGCCCTGGTGTATGAGGAAGCTTGCATGAAATCATTATGAGAGATTTGATGTGTAGTGCACTTCATCTCCCCTCATAACTGGTTTCTGTACTCCATCCTGACTCGTGAGACTGAAGATAACTATATGCATTTGATGGTGTCATGGCTTGCTTTGACAGACTAATGAGGAAGTTACAAGTGGAAAATAGCCGTGAGGAGATTTGTTAAGTCACAGAATCAGTGAATAATTAGGGTTGGAGCTTTCTAGTCTAACCAAGGCAAATAGAACAGGTTGTTGAGGGCCTTGTCTCATTGAGTTTTGAATATCTGCAAGAATGGTGAGTGAAAAAAGATGGTGAATGCTTTCTGGGCAACATTTGCCAGCATTTGACTACCCTCATAGCAAAAAGATTATTCTTGCATCTGACTGGAATTTCCATGTTTCAACTTGTGTTCATTGCTTCATTTTCTGTCACTGTTCATCTCTGAGTTCAGTCTGACTTTGTCTTCTCTAACCTGCATATTAGGTGGTTGTAGACAATGAGATCTCTACTTAGCTTTTCCTCTTCTTTTATCTGTAAAAACCAAACACCCTCAGCCTCTCCTTGTCTTGTGCTGCAGTCCCCTATCCATCTTGGTGACTTTCCAACAAAATTGCTGCAGTGCCCTTATTGTAATAGGAAGTGCAGAAGTGGATAATGTCCTCCAGATAAGGTCTCACAAGTACAATATAAAGAGAAATAATAATTTCAACACTGTGGCCACACAACTGCTAACTGTTGCAGGCAGCAAGACAGTCTCAAGTTGAGTAATTTTACTGGGGGAGAGCCTTCGCTGGTGATGATGATCTAGTAAAGATGCTGGAGGGTGGCCTTACAGTGCCATCAGCTAGCTTCTTTGGTGCCTTCAGATGCATCTTGTCTATTTACATGGGCTTGTGAGCATCTAGCTGTCTGAAGTTCCTACTAACTCATTCTTCCTTTGCTCTACATAATACCTTGTCCCCCTGAACTCTTCTAGTAGACGCAGGGGGCAGACCTAAACAGTGAAAATGTATAGTTGTGTTGAGTACATCAGTCTCAAATTGCAGCCTTTGTTTCCAGGTTGTTGAACAGCAAACCCACATTTTCTTGAACCTTTCTTTTGCTTCCATTCTATGTAGAAAAGCCCTTCACATTTCTGTGTGTTTCAACTCCAGCTGAACTTTGCCTTCCCTAATTCTCTCCCTTCATGCTTGGACTATGTATTTATATCCCTTCTGGCCAGCTCATTCTCATTCCCATTTCTGTGTACATTTCTGTGTTCTCTGTCAGTGCAAACTTTTCCTTCACTCTTACTGGATTGAGTGTAGCCACTTCAGGCCAGTTGCTATCTTGACAACTAGTCTGAAGCAGAATCTATTTTACTGCTTGCTTTTATGGCTCAGCTGACTGATGACAATTTTTGTTCTGCAGAGTCCTCAGTTGATCAGCTCAGTCTTTATCTTGATTCAGTGAGTATCTCTCTCAAAAGAAGCTAGCATGAACACGAATCAAGAATGAACAGTCACTTAAACTGGTTTTATACCTGTAACCCACTGGGATGTTTGAGGGAGATTTATCAGACCTCCCATTTGTCCTTAGTATTGCAAGTTTATCTTTTGAAAGGATGAGCTCCAGGCATAGTATTTTTTTTTTTCCTGTTTCCTTATAACATGCCTAGTCTTAGTTCTTTTTTCCTAACTGTATTTCTCTTTCATTTTGCAGAAGTGGAAGCCAAACGTTAAATTCCTCTATGTCTAATAAGAATGTGTGGCTACAGGCTTTTATGGACATTGGAGTTAATATTGCCCATTGCAGTTTTAAGGGTTCCTCCTGGGAGGTAAATTCTAGCTATTTGAAGTCTAGTCAGTAGTTGAACAGAGGACCGGTGTATCAGGAAATCTTTATTTTGATTCCCTCTGAGTCACCATTAGGAAAACTGCAAGGCCCCTGTTTTCTCAGCTGTGAAAAAAGAATAATAGTATTTGCTACTTAGAAGTCTGTTGGAGATTTAGTTACTATTTAAAAAGGTACTTTGTTCCTTTAGAGAGTTTTGTTAGAGCTATGAGCTTTTCTTCCATTTGAGTATGGCTGGAATATGCTTCGGTGGACACTGAAATGTTAGTGACCTATATTATACTTGTTTTAAACAAAACAGCTTATTATGAACAAGTATAGGACAGCTGTGCTATTTGACTGCCATAGTACAAGGAAAGCATTTTAGATGGTGTCCTCTGACTGAACTTTAGACTTCTGCATCTAAATTTGTTGCTCAGGGCCCTATTTGCAGCTGAAAGCAAACAGTCATTTTTAGGTCAACATGGGTCTGACCTAGAAGTAGAAGTCTAAAGGAGGTCAGATGAGTGGTGTTTTAGAAGTATCTATTTTTCCACTGTGTGCCAATAAAGTGAATTCAACTTGATTACCTCAGCTAAAGGCATCCACTCCATCAATATTAGTGAAGCAGTTGGAATTTAGCCTTTCATGTCTGGGAGTCCCCCTGTTAGGCAGGTATTTTTTGTCTTCTACACGTTCAGTAGTGCTTATCGTTGAAATTGTAGTACTGGTCTAAAAGCAGACTGCCCATCTTACTTAACAGCAGATCCTGGGTTCTCCACAGCACACAGGATGTGCTAGACCAGGGTCTTGAGGTTCAGCCTGATTTGGCTCTTGGGTCTGTGTTTGATACTGCATTAGAACACCTCTACATGAAGCATTTGCCAAACTGTTGTGAAATATTTTTGAATTTAGGACGCATAAGCAAAGTCGTTTGCACCATTTTCAGGAGCTAGAGGACAGAGTGGCTGCTGTCAGCATGGCTTGCTCATTTGCAAGACCTCAGAGGGGCTAAAAATCTGCTGTTCTCCATGGCTTTAGTTAAACCACTTAAGCCTCAGTCTTAAGTGCTTTCTTTATATTGCTCAAGTACAGATGCTCTGTCTTATTTTTAATCATGCTTTCGTATTTCATATCCCCTTTCCACACTCACTTCGCCCTGTTATACACATGCTACAAGCCAAACCTGAACCCTCTATTGATTCAGCTGTGTTGTTGCAGTATAAGGGAGATGTGTTATTGATTCTCTTTGGGAAGCTTGTTTATGCAGGGATTAGAAATGCATCAGCATAGTTTGTACATGTAAAAAGTGATGGCAGAGTAAAATCTGTACCTCCTTTTTCCCATTATGCTGTGTTGCTTCTGGCTTTCGTGCACTGGATGTTTTCTTTTGTGCATATGGAAGCTTTACCTTGTAGGTGAGCCTTTCCCTTCTGAACATTTGCAGACTTTGAATTTACAGTGCTGTACATCATGCATGAAAGTGAAATTTCAAATCTAGCACACCAGCTCAGATACAGACAGTATGCCCTTCTGACGAATGAAATAAGATTTTACTAGGTGTGAGGAGCTAGTGAGAAGTTCATTGACCATGTAATCCCCAAATTTTAAGCTACACTGAGGTTACACAACGGCTTGGAATGAAGCTCTGCTCTCACAGTTGTTTTTTTTCTGGTCCCTGGTAAAGTGCTCTGCTGACCCATCTGCCTCAGAAGTTTACTATTTTGTTCATTCTTTCATCTTTCTCCCTTCCCTTTCCAAAGGTGAATGAATGGAAAATTGGAATACGGAGGGTTTAATGCATCCATGTCCAGTAGTACTGATGTCCTTAAGAGATTTATTTTGCCATGAATTACTAGGCTTTTGAAGTATTTTGCATGGGAATGATAGAGGATTGCAGGTGAGAGAGTGCTGTGCATCATACTCGTTTCCCTTTTTATTCCTTTTGAGAAGTTTTACCTGGCGTCCAGCTAAGTTTACTGTCAGTGTGAAAAGTTTAGTGTAGGTCAGACCATGCTACCTAGTGATTTAATTCCAAGACTATTCATGCTAATTTGAATATACATAACGCTGTGCAGAAAAAGAGATGTTCCCCACTTAGAAATTTACAACTGAAAAAGAAAATAGGAAAATAAGATTAGATGGGGTAGGTGAGGCCAATCTGATTATATGCTGAATTCTGACACTAATGCTTATGTTATGTGTGAAAGATATTTTACTTAAGATGTTTTTGTATGTGCATGTGAGTGAAATACATAACTTCGTTTGTGTTTATATGGAACAAAATTGCTCAGAAATATTTCAGGCTTTTTGCTTGTTTGTTTTTGATTTGTTTTTCTCCCTTGCTCTCCTGGAGAGAGTATCTTTGCAATTTCTAAGGAAACAAAAACACTTCTCCAGAAATAAAAATTCTTGAGGTTTTATCTGATTTTTTTTGTTGTTTGTTTGTATGGAAGCATGGCATGGTGAATGCAAACTCCAGTTTTGGAGTTCTGTCTACCCTTGTGTGGAGTTTGCAATTTATCTTTTGCAGGGCTAAATAATGCTGATGTTATGGAGATTATGTTGGTGTTAATATAATAACTAGAGAGTTACTCCAGGATGTGGCTAGGGAAGCTGGAAGTCTTATTTTTTATGGGTGCTACTGCTAGCATGCCCTAGAGGAGATGTTGGTACCACAGTGTCAGTGTTGGTATTCATCTGACATCTCATGAACAGTTTGATATTTCTGAAGCACTACTGCCTAAATTACCAGACTACCTAGGAGCCCTGCTCCAAGCCTTGAGATTTAATCTTTTATGTGCTGGTCTAATTGTTCTACATACTGCTTTATTTATCAGGGACCACGGTGAATGAAGAATAGGATATTCTTCCCCTCTGTTCTGCTTGCCACATTAGAGCTGAGGAGCGATGTGTTGGATTTGATAGCCTTGTGAAATGACTGAAAATTTCTTGTCACGAATTAAAATACATACCCGTATTACCTGGGCAGGAGAGTGGGAACAATAACAGTAGTAATGCCCATCTCATTTTAACCAGAGTGGAATCTGTCCTCTGAAGCACATAGTACTGAATTAATTTAACAGTCCGTGGGAGTCTGGGGGGTGCTTTGCACTTTCCTGAAGGAAAAGGACAGTTATTGCCAGTTCAGGTTACATGCCTCTGCTTTAAAGCACGAGCCTACTTGTGTTCTGGGTTCATGTCACTCTACCCCAGTGACTGTGCTGTATCACCTGTGTCTTGGAGCCAATATGCTCTGAATAATCTTCTGTGTCATGGAAGGTGCTCTCAGCTGAATGAGAGCTGATGCCCTATGGACAGCTGCAGGAGTTTAACTACAAACTGTTCAGTGGAACAGAAAGGAGAAAGAAATGGGTTTGTGCTGTGAATCTATAGGGAAAGATTCATATACAGAATGTATGTTTTCCTCCATCTCCTTCCACGTCCTGTTCTCCCACTGGCTCACACTTCCAGGCACACACCTCTGGCCAGGCCTTGCAGACATGGAGAGGGCAGCATTGGCTTGCTGAGAGGTGCAGCCTTGTTCTGCAACATGCACCGTGCTGGCAGCTCCAGAGAGGTCCCATCTTGGAGTGCCACAGCATGGGGATGACTCCATTTCTGGTTGTGCTGCCTCAGCCTTAAGTATGCTGGCAGCTGGGAGGCAAAGCAAATGATGAGTGAGATCTCAGCAGGGGCATCTCACAAGCTCTCCCATGACTGTGGCTTGCCTCCTGCCCAGACATGATGCTCAGGGGCTGGCAGACCGTGTGCCGCGTGGTGGTGCTGGCTGCACACCATGCAGGGGCTGCCAGCAGCTGCAGACCCGTCCTCTCTCCTCCCCAAAAAACTCCAAACCCCAAACCGTGTCATTTTCACGGCATCTTTTATATGGAAGATTAGAATTGCCTCTTCTTGTTGCTATGGAAACGCTCGAGTGAAAGGAAACGACCTCATTATGATTTATGATGAAATCCCTTTGGGGTGGGCTTGCTGCCCCAGCATGCTTGCTGGGGGGGGAACAAGGCTGGGGGATGCCTGGCCTTGGTGTGGGGGTTCTGGAACCTTTCATCTTTTGTGCCTTCCTCAGCAGTTTGTCTGTCTCTTGGTCTTTTCCCTTTGGCTCAGCAGGTCAGAAACAGCTCCTGCTGCTGGAGCAGCTTTTTCCCTTGGAAATCAGCTCAGAAGCTGTGGCTATGTCACTTCTGTACTGGGCTCTGAATGCCTTTGGGAGGGTCACTGCAATAGGAACAGAGTCCCATCAGTGAGCTGGACAAACAGCTTGGATGTTGTAACAGGTTTTCCAGGGCCCTGGTATCCTTTGTGCATGTGTTTCCTTCAAATTATGGCTGCTGCCTTGGAGCCCCAGCTGTCTCTGGAACTGTGCCTTACACTGAGCTTTGTGTCCAATCCAAATGTTGCTGAGATGCTCACCTGGGCTTGCCCTGATTGGAGGAAAAAAAAAAAAAGGATTACTTATGTTAGTTTTAGCTAAAGTTTTCTTAATTTTCTCTCTATATTTTTTCTTTGAGAAAAGAATGCTCTCTTTATAGAGAAGCTAAGTGTGTTTGTGATGTATCTTTGGGGAGGTGACCCTCTATCCTTTTGTTAAGAGCATTATGTGGTCCCCAGGGCTGACTTGTCCTTTTGCTCATTAAGTACATCTTACTGTGAGGAAAAGAAGAGATGAGATACTGGATTGTGAGGAATTTGAGATAACCTGGGCTGTTACTAGTACAGAGCACATGCTAACGTATCCCTAGGAGGCTGTAAAGGTTGGTAAAAAATGAGCAGCTGCCTCTAGACCCTGCTATAATTACTGGTTACAGCAGCTGCTCCATCCTGCTGCTCCTGACGAGCTGCTGGCCAACGTGGCATGTATACTGGCCTCCAGGTCCAGCATGAGAGCTCCTCCATCCCTGTTGTATCCAGACTGCAGGGCAGGGAGGGGGAGGAGTTAGAACAGGTAGGAGGTGCTCTGCTGAGCCTGGGCTGGACTTGGAGTCTCTAAGGGTCTGTGCCAAGTAGTGGTCACCTCTGTAGCTCTGGAAAACCTGTACCCCTTGGTCAACAGGTTGCTTTTGAGACTTGTGAGAAGAAAGCTGGCAATTTACCCTGTCCACTGGGTGAGCTGGATGCCAGAAAGCCCATGCAGTCTGAAGGATAGTTCAGATCTTGGAAAGCATTGGATCCTTGGCCAGACAGCTTTTCGTTGTTGCTCCAATTGACAGCCTCATTTTGACAAAGCTCACTGGGAAAGAACTGCTAAATGGAAAAGCCCTTCTGGCTGTCACTGCACATCCCTCTTCCCTTTGATAAATACTAGAGTATATTTTTAACTGAAGACCAGTTTTTTCATTGGAAAAATCTGGAAGATATTTCCACCAAGCTGCCATTTTTTTTAGCATGCATCAAGGAATGTAGGGCTGTGGGCTGGCCCAGCACTGTACTTGGACAATGAAAGATTTCAGCAAGCAAGGAGAGGAGCATGCATGTCCTATGCACTCAGTGGGAGTTTGCCACAGGAGCATGTGTGCTGCAATGCTTTGCCAGAGCTGGCGTTTTAAGTGGTAACCCCCTATGAAAGATTGCAGAAACTTACCCTGTCTGGGCTTCAGAGCAGTGCAAAAAAAAAAAAAAAAAAAAAAAAGGCTGGAAAATGATAGCATTTGCCAATAGTAGCATACAAACAAGCAAATAGGGAAAACAGGCCTATAGGCCTTTGTTTTTTTGTTTTTCCCCGTGCATGTAGCAGCCACAATGTTGGTTTTGGCATTCCTAATCTTGCTGGAGGGAATTTACTGTGCTTAGTAAGTCTGATGTATCTGCTGTTGCAGCTGCTTTGAAGAGAGCCATGCTGAACATTTAGCAAAAATCTTTTTTTTTCTTCTGCAAAGCCCAGTAGGAAATGGACTTTAGTGACTGCAACCAGCACAGTTTAACATTATCTGTCTTCCTCCATTGCCGTTTTCTTAACTCTTGTAATACTATAATTTTGCTATTATTCAAGTCAATAGAGAGTCTTCTATCATATGTCCATCCTGAATTTTTCTAGTAGAGAAACAAGGAAGCCAATTGCTAGTTGCTCCTAATGCCTAAAGAAAATAACATGAAATAATTCTAATCTAAAAAGCTTAGTATCTGAAAACATTTTCTGGGATTCTCTCACATTCTGCAAAGGAAAAGAGGTGCCACTCAACTTCCCAGCATCAGAGGTTATAGTGAAAATATAGTAGTTGCATTTATATTCTGCTATCTTAATTAAATTTGTCTCATATGGCTGAGATGTCCTGGCCCTGTTAACTCTAGGTGCCCTATAATACAAAGTATTTTTGAACAGGCAGGTAGGATAAAATATAATTATTTGTCTACTGAATTGATTTCACTGTGGAAAAGAGTGAGCTAACCAGCTACATCTCTGTATATCCAAATCTTCCACCACAACTTCAAAGAAACTGGAGAAATTAAATGAATAAAAAGATGCTCTCCTTTATGTATTCAGATCTGCTAGCCTAAAGCTCAGAGACTTTTCTAGACTCATTTTCAATCTTTAAAAAATGAGCTCTGCACACCAGATCTATGGGAGTTCCACAGCTCTCAGCAACTATTTTTTTACTTCTCTCTATATCTGTTAATGCTGCTGGTATTCTCAGCTGTGATAAGCCATGTTCTTGGGTGGGGTGCAAAATAAGCAGCATCACTCGTTACAGAAGGCATTAATTAATGGCCGGTTCTAACCAAGTACAGCTGAGGCAAATGGGAATTAAGGACACCTGGCCTTGCAACTGTAGGCTAGAAAGGTGGATTCTTGTTGGTATGGCACAGGCCCTTATAAGCTCTTTATTTTGTAAATTCTGTGAGCCTGGCATCTCTCGGTCCTTGCGGTATCAGAACTGTGGATACAGGCTACAGTACTGTTCATGGGAGTTTTTAGAACGCTTTAATGAGACACAGAGGCAATTTTGCAGAGTCATGCTGCAAGTAGACATGTACCTGTGAGTGCCAGTGTGGGACTGTGAAAGAACTGAAGTTCCTTTTGTTTGAAAGGCAGATGGAAGAAACAGTGACAGTCGGTACAGAAAATCTGTGAGAAGCCTGACGTAGAGGGAAAGCATGAGCTCTTGGAGTGTCTACTGAAATATTGTACTTGTGAAGGATGTAAAAGTGGAAAGAAAGGCAGAGGAGAAAGATGAGACAGATTCTTCTCAGTGCTGCAGAAGTTAAAGATGGCAACTCTTGATTCTTGCCTCCCCCTCTTGCCCCGAATCCTGTTGTATTGCTGAAATTTCAGTGATTCAAAGTGACCTGAGAAACTCTCAAGAGATGGAGAAAGCAATCTATGCAGGTATGTATTTGAAAAATTCTGATATAGTTATTATTGGTATCTACGTTTATCTATGAAGAGATGTGTGCAACGTATATGAATAT